AGGCGGGTTGACAAGTATGGTGTGTGTGCCATGGCTTTCTCCCTGATGTCCCTTCCTCTTCCTCACTGTCCTGTTGCCTAGCAGCTGACCATGCCACTGCCTCGGTACGGCTCCGGGCAGCAGCCACTGATTCTGCCACAGTCCATTCAGCTGCCAGCGGGGCAGAGCCTCTCCGTCGGGGGCCCCCGAAGGATTCCTCCTCCTGGGTCCCAGCCGCCAGTCCTGAACACCAGCAGAGAGGTAAAGGTGACCCATCCTCCTGTGGTCCCGATGGCTCTGGGTGCAGGGTCCTGGCCTCACCAGCGTGTGGCTTTCCTGGGAGCATCCTTAGCATCCCAGAGGACAGGGGTGCCTCAATTTCTGTGTAACTTTGTAACAGAAATGAACATGGGTATGGGTGAGACAACAGAATAGAGAGGAAGAACATGTGACCAAAGTCTCAGCTGAGTGTAGCTGTCACAGATGGAGGTCTCAAGACCCTGGCTGCATGTCCCAAGGCCCAGGGCCAGGAGCTTGTACTTCGGACTGGGCCCAGGTGGCTTTGGTGTAGATGACATCTGGGTGTGCTGACATGTGGCCAACCCTCCATGGCTCTGTCCAGTGTGCTGTCCAGTGTGCTTAAGAGCAACAAGCATTGAGGCTGGGTGTGGTGGCGCACACCTGTAATTCCAGCACTCTGGAGGCTGAGGCAGGAGGATCGCTGTGAGTTCGAGACCTGCCTGGGATACATAGTGAGTTCCAGGTCAGTCTCAACTACATAGTGAGACCCTGTCTCAAAAAACAACAACAAAAAAGCAACAAGCATAGTCGGGCATGGTGGTGCACACCAGTAAGGCCAGCACCAGGGAGGCTAAGGTAGGAGATCGCCATAGTTCACAGCCAGCCTCGACCACATAGCGAGACCCTGTCTTAAAAGAACAACAGGGAATAAAACAGCAGGCCCATTTAAATCATTCTTGCTTCTAGGAAGAAACCGCTTTTAAGTCTTGGCTTGAAAGGATGGGGCGGGAAGTCCTCTCATGTGCTCAGGAAATTGTCCTGGCCCCACTGGGGTTCATGAGGGCCATCTGATAACGGTTTGCTTCTTGGTTCCTTTAGTCCTCTCAGATGGAGCTGAAAGGCTTCCACTTTGCCGACAGTAAACAGAATGTTCCTCCGGGAGGCTCCGTACCATCGCCACAGACCTACAGGTACAGACCACCCTGGAGGCGGGACAGAGTGCGCTGTAGATGTGACCCCCAGAGGCTCACTGGAGCCCCTGGAACCCGCAACGGCAGCCGAAGAGCTCTAAGGCCTGGTCTTCTTGTGGGGGCCCATGTGTCACCAAGAAGCCCCGGGGGAATGCTTGAGCTTTAGTTAACTGTGAGGAAAGTGGGGATTAGAGAGACGATTCATCATCAGAATAAGCTGCTCTGGATTGAAGAGGGGGAACAGAACAGCCCTTCCCAAGCTGTTTTCACCCTACCCCAATCCCTGCCAGGAGCTTTCTATTGCTGGCTGCTGGGGGCCGTCCATCCCGTGCTCCGGGCACCCGCTCCTGACCCGTCTGCATCTGTCCCCACCCTGTCTTAGCCTGACCTGGAGGCAGCTGTTGGGTCACAGCGGAGACCTGTGGGTCACCTATGCCGGGTGGAGGCCGCTGTGACCCTGCGCCGTGAAGGTGGGCACTTGGCAGCTCTTGTGGGACAGATGCACATGGTCTGCAGTGCCCCGTGCAGGAGTGGTTAACGCGGTCACCCTCGGTGCCGAGTCACCCCGCCAACACAGGCTCTGCAGGTGGGACCTGCTGTTCTGCCCACTGCGGGTCCGGCTGGGGCCTCCTCCGTGTCATTGCTCCGCACCTGCTCCTAACCCTTCCCTCACTGCATCTTTTCTGTTCTCCTCGCTGTTTTGGCTTCCTTTTGTCTGTGTTGGTACATTGTTTCCCAGCACTGCCCATCCCCAGGCGGTGAGCAGGACTGCGTGGGCAGAGCAGAGCGTGTGTGACGTAGGGCTGAGGGAAGGGATGGCTCAAGGGCTCACACTTGCTCCAGCCCCCTGCTGTCATGGGCAGCACCGGCCGCAGACCTGTCCCGAGAGCAGACTGCTGAAAACCACCTGAGTCGCAAACCCCTGTGCGTGTGCGGCTGTAGGTCCAAAGAATTCAAGGCAGGGAGGGCCAAACAATTTTTCCTGAAACAATCCAGTGTAACAGCCATCTGTGCAGCATTTCTGAGTCATCTTGAGTTAATCTAAAATGTATAGGAGGGGCTGGGGTGTGGCTGACTGCACGATCCCCAGCACCCAAAAGTACACAGGGTACGTTTTATGTAAATACCACACCATCTCATATAAGGGATTTGAGGATCATCTGCAGGAGTTCTGGAGTGTTTATTTTCGAGACCGGGTTTCACTGTGTAGTTCAGGCTGGCCTCGAATTCGCTCTGTGTAGCCCAGGCTGGCCTCAAACTTGCAGCAGTCCTTCAGCCTCAGCCTCCCGAGTCCTGGGATTATAGGTGTGCGCCACCACCAGAGGGATGAATATATTTAGAAAGCCTGACTAGCAGCCTGTTTTCACGGAGAGGAAGGGTTCATAACTTTATAGAGCAGTGTTTCCAAAGATGTGTGGAGACGGTTGTTGAGACATGCCCTGCACGAGGGGTCCCGGCCAGACACCGGGTGTCCTGTGCCCGACAGGGCTCTCTGGGGTGGAGCAGCCACCACCAGCAGGGGCTCTCAGCGTTCCATGGGGCTCTGTACAGCACTGGTTAGCCTTCTGGAGCACAGAACCTACTTTTCCTGCAGCACCTGCTTAACGTCCTCCGCTGTGAGGGGTCCTGTGGAGCACATTCACAAGGACCTCAGCCTCTCCTCTCCTAGCAGCATCAAGGTTGACAGGGAACCGCCCCTGCCATTTCTGCATTCTTGGCTGTCTCAGATCTGGTTTTCTCTATCTGAGAGCTTTCCAGCTGCCCAGGGCAAGTACCTCTGGCCAGAGAGCCCTTCCTTCCTTGTGCTTCTGCGTGCTAGGCTTTGAGTCCATTTCTGTGGTGACGCGTGTGTATTCTCAACCCCTGCCTTTGGTTTTTTCAGGCCTAGCTCTGCTAGCCCCAGTGGGAAGCCCTCTGGATCAGCAGTTAACATGGGCTCTGTGCAGGGACACTACGTTCAACAGGTAGAAGATGGCTTTCCAGACTCTGCAGCCCTGGACACTTAGGCCCGTCTCCCAGCGCCAAAGGAGAAGGGACTGTCCAACTGATTGCGTGCTCCTTTAATAAAGACTCACGCCCTAGCAGTTAGAGCTGGCCACCCGAGCCCCTCCTGGCGACGGCATTTCTCCTGATGGGCATCTGGATCCTTCCTTGTCCTACAGAGAAGGGAGGATCCTGGTTCCTCAGAGGTTACGCCAGCAGGTGGACCCCCTAGCCATGTGAGGCTGCACTGGCGCTCTGGGAGACCCAGTTAGGCTGTGGGATAGCGCTAGGTGCCGCGTGTGTGCGTGTGCCAGCTCTAGTAAGTGGTGTGTCTGTGTCTGTTGTGGCTGGGTGGGATCACAGAGAGAAGTAGGCTCCTCTGGCTCCTGGTGAGGATTTCTCAGTGTCTCTTCCTGCAGGCACTATTCTCTTGCCTCCTGTGAAGCATGTGCTAGGGCTTTAAAGCTCAGGACCTGGGTGGGAGGGCGGTTGCTCTCATGCCCTCCCTTGCTACCACGTTTCTGGGGGTCACTACCGGGCACCTGTGGAAGGAGCTTCTAAAGCTTTCTCCGAGTTCTGGGCACCAAGTGAGGGGCCGAGCCACACTGGCTGTCTGACATCCTCCACCATGCAGAGCTGCAGACTGCTGGAACCCCAGTTGGGAATCTCGAGGCCCAGCTAGGGTCCTGGGGAAAGAGTCTGGCATGGTGGGCTTGGCTGAATCACAGTCAGAGGTCTGGGAGAGCCAAGTGACCCGCTCCTTCCTCTGCAGACAGCTGGATACTCCGAGGCTGGTGTCGTGGGGTACACTTGCAGTTACTGGAAGTGTTTCTGTGGCTTGCGGGGCCTGGGTGCACTGATTTGAAAAGGTTCTTCCGGGCAGAAGTGTGTCCCCCCAGGGCATGCCATCCCTGAGTTCTTGTGGAGGACCTGGTATCTCTCTGCCTCTCCAGATCACTGCACTCGATGCCCGTGGGGAGGGGACAGGCAGTCAGACACCAGGCTCCTTACCAGGAGAGTGACTTCTGAGTCTGACCCTTCAACAGAGGGATGGACAACTCGGAGTAGGTTTTCTTGGTGACGCAGAGTGGGAAGGCAGTGGTGGGGCTGTGTCTCTGAAGAGAAGTCTCTGCATCGAGGTCACTTCCTCTTTCCCATTCGTCTGTCCAAAGGCCAAACAGCGAGTGGATGAAAAGCCCAGCCTGGGAGCCGTGAAGCTGCAAGAGGCCCCCTCCACCACCTCCCAGATGAAGCGAACCGGAGCAATCAAGCCTCGGGCCGTCAAAGTGGAGGAGAGTAAAGCCTGATGGTGCCTGGCCGCCGCCTTGCCTCACCCTAACAGGGACAGTGCCACCACCCGGCCTGGACGGGACAGCCACACTCGGAACCGCACAGATCCACTGTCCGCCTGGCCTGGACTGAGAGCTCCTCCTCCTCTACTCCCAAAGGCTCCATCGTCAACCGGCTCCGCCGTGGAAACGTGGCGTTGACCTGCTTGCTTCGAGACAAAAGAGCAACGACGCCCTCTCTCCGTCCCCTCCTTCCCAGTGACTGTGGAGTGAGTCGCCTTCCGTGCAGCGCAGACCCGCCCACCCCGTCCCCAGCCGCAGTGGTTTGGCAGCAGGGTCATTTCAGCCTGAAGCTTTTTTGTTTTAAAAAGCAGCTGAGGTTTTTACAAAGGGGAAAGGAAGACAAAATGCCAGCTACGTCTGTATAGCTGAACTTTGATATGTTCCTCGCTGTCCTCTCCCTGGCTCCCTCTGCAGTTCCTAACGGTCTCCTTTTACCTCGTCTTGTTGGACACGTCACTGCGATACCTTAAGAGATGACTCTTAAGAACACGCTCCCCCAAGCTGGTCACCTTTTGGAGTCACTGCAGGAGGACACGGCTGTGAGCGCTCTGGAGTTGGCTTGCTGCTGGAGGCGGTGGGGGAGCAGAGCAGTGGGTAGGTGGTGTCACGGTTGGGTACCAGCCCTGGCCTCAAGTCAGGCATTTTAACATGAGTTCCGTGGGATTTGTCCTGGGCTCTGCCAGTGGACACGCTGACTGAGGGGTGCCAGGTTGTGGAGGTACAGTCCCTGTCATTTCCCAGATTGGCCAGGATGGAGCGACAGACACACCACAGGCGCCATCGGCATGCTGCGCTTCAGGGCCCTGCACCCCGTCCTCTGGGGGCCCCTGCTGCCTCAGTCTCTCCTAGGCCTTCCCTGACCTGCCGCTTTCCTCTCTTCCTCTTTCCAGAGCCTGCGGTGTCCCGCCCAGCTCATCACTAAATCACAGTGGCGGGAACTCTTGGACATCCATTTGGCTGTGGCTACAGCAAAGCATGTGGTTCCTAAAGCAGGGTCATGGGGAGCTGTCCTGGTCGGGTTTGGGGGCCTACAGTTTTAGAGAAGCCTAGCAAACCCCCCCAAAAGATAGCCTGAGTCTACAGAGCTGCCTTGCAAAAGGCTGCTGTGAGCCCCTGGGCTCTGGGCTGGTTCTGAAGTCCAAAACAAGGAAGACATTCTCACTCCATCATTCCAAGAAAAGTGTGGAACTTGTGGTTCCTTAAGTGCTTTTAGAGTCCCTAGCCCATCACCTGCCTGTGGGGGCCGCTATGTGTCCTGCTGGTGTGGCTTTGAGAGCCTGCTGTGCGTGCAGGGGTTCGGCTGTGCCCACAGTCTGCCTTTCTCACCAATGGTGTGACAGCTGCTTGGGCTCCGAGTTGTGTCTAGTGTGGAACCTGAGCAAGGGAGCACCTCAGGACTCTGAAGCAGCTTTTTTCTCTGTGTCTGCAAGGAAAGGGGGTCACCCCGAGCCCCCAGTCCGCAGCGCCGAGCAGTCCCAGTGGTATCCAGACAGGGCAGTTTTACCAAAAGATGCTTTCCTGCTTCATCTGTAGCACTTGGCACCTCCCTCTCTCTCTCCTCCACCCTACTTTCCTAGTCCGTCGTCTTTTCTCCACCCGTCAGCCTCTACTTCTCCACCCCTTCTCGAAGGGCGGCCCACTTGGAGTCTCCAGCACTGGCCTGCCCGAGTCACTCACCGCTCTCCTCCTCTCCCTGCAAGCGTCTGGTCACTGTCCCTCTGATGAGTCCTCTGTCCTCCCTGCTTCCACCGGCAGCCAGTTGGAGCCACACGGCCATCTCTGCCCAGTCCCCTTAGAAACAGTCAGACCTGCTCAGTGAGGCCGGTACACGATTTGTCCAAACGAACACAACAGCCCTGGACGCTGTTACAAACGCAAGATGTGCCCTGCAGGTGAGCCTGCTGTAGAGTGACAGACAGTACTTCTGGTGGGAGGAAAAAGAAAACGTCGCCTGATCTCAGCCCCTTCGCACCCTCCTTTCTCCTCCTCACCCCAAATAAAAACAGAAAACACTAGAATTTATTTATATGTATTGATGTTGTAGGTCTAGGTGAAAAAAAAGTGAATGTCCCACTTCTCTATTTATATATAATGTCTGAATTACTCCGTGCAGGAAAGGCCAGGAATTTGCATGTGAAGTTTGGTGCGCTCACCACTCTGTGGCCTCAGCTGTGGGATCGTCCCTGCTGAGAAGCAGGTTTAAAACTAGACTCTGGGGGCAGAGAGGAGGCCTTAGGCTTCAGGCCCCCAGCATCCCAACCCCTTCCATGGTCTGATTAAATGCAGTCTTAGTGCAGAGATGTTTTATGGTGCAATATCTCTTTCATGTGGTTTTAGAGCAAAGCTCAAGGCAATAGGACTTGGGGTCTTGTTTTAGTTTCCAACCCCCACCCTCAGATTGCAGATATGCACACAGAGGCTTTGCCAGGATGCTGTGGCCTTTGGCTGGAATAGGTGAATCCCAGCGCCTGCCTTTTCTAATGCTGAGGTGGTTAGGGGCAGGTGAGTGAGTGCACAATCTTCTCACCGCGACCTCCTCAGTCACTGCTGGATGCTGGCGGTTTTGCCAAGACACTGATGGTACTACCCGTTGCTTGGCAGCCAGTGACTCTGCAGTAGTGTTGGTCCTCTGCTGACAGCTTAGTGGAGTGAAACTGAAGTGTAGGACATCTGGGATTGAACATCCACCCTCTGAAAACTGTGCTGCCAGCTGCATTTGATCTCATTTTGTAACTGCTGCTTCCTGTTTTAGTTCCATTATTATTTTCAAACTTGGAATTCATAGAACCCTTCTGGTTCTGGGTTCCTTAAGAGGGAACAAACGAGGACTTTAATACACATTCAGAAAAGTTGGTTCCGTTCCAAAGCTGTGGTCACGCCAGCTGCTTGTAGGGATGGATACTGGAGTAACTTGAACATCGCCAGTGCCCTCCTGGCTTCTGGATCTGCCTTCCAGATGTTCAGTGGTGAGGTTTTTGTCACCGAGCCCAGGGTGCGAGTGTGCACTGGGTGCGGAGGCAGCACGGGCAGGTCTGGTGAGGCCCCTCCCCTGCCACCCACTGGCTTCCCCTCTGCCAAGGAGCTGCATGTTGTCCTTCGAACCTCTCTCGTCCCTTTTTGCTTCGTGCAGAGCAAGCCAGGGTTAGAGGGTCTGTTGGAAATGGCCTTTGATGGCCAGTAATACTGGGGTGTGTGTGCGCTTTGTCGTGTTCTGTGATGAAAGGGAAATGCAGATTTCCAAAAAGCCAATTCTGAATATGAGACAGGTGACCTAAGACAAGGTCATCTGGACAGGAGTGGCGTAGAGTTGGGGACAGTCACCCAGTCATGTTCTCCAGCAGGGCCATCAACAGGTCTGGCTAGTGACCATCGAGGCGTGGAAGGCCCGCCATTCACTATTTCTCCACCCCAGCTTGGTGGCCTCCAAGATGGCAGCAGTCCCCTGCCTTCGTGTGTCAGGAAGCCTCGGAGTGGAAATTCTTGTTAAGGCTCTGTGCGGAGCGCCTTCTTCCACTGTGTAAAGGGATTCTGTACTCTTCAGCTTTTGACCTCACGCCTTGTGTAGTAAAAAGGATTTTGGGGGGTTTTGTTTTTTGAGCGGGTTTTTTGTTTGTTTCCTTTTGTTTTATTTTGGCCTTTCCTCCCTTTGTCTTTTCATGTAGACCAGATATTTGAAAGGGCAGACGATGGCTAAAGGTGTACTGTGCAACTTGTTTATACGTGTTTGGGGAAATCTGACCTCGGATGGGAAATGGGAACATGGATTCGCCTGGCTGTGCTGGATGCTCACTCTCCCTTCCCTCCAGTTCAGTACCTGTTGTTTCTCCTTTCAAATATGTGATTGTACTAGCTCTTTCCATATGAAAGAACTCTCCTTATTTAAATAAAAAAAAGTAAAAAAAAAAAAATGAAGCTGAACACGCTTTCTCAGGTTGTGTGTCCCTTGCTTCCCAGCCATGTGACAAGCGAAACCTACAGGTGGAAGAGTTTGTTTTACAGACCTGTCACAGAATTGGCTGTGGCCGGGCCGGAACACTTTGGTGCAGCTCAGCTCGGGGAGAGAGGTTGGGATGGAAACTGCTGTTTAGGCGTCTTCGTGAAGCCACAGCACCAAGCAGGCTTCTGTTTCTCTGTGGATGGCTCCTAGGTGTGCACAGTACCTGTCGCCCCTGGGAGACCTTGTGCAGGGAGCAGGAAGGGTTATACTGCACTTTTAGGTGGGGAAAGAGCAGTCCAGGTCTGAGGCGATGAAGGGTCAGAGGACTTTCGATAGGGGTTCGGGCAATCGTACTCCCTTCTGCCACCATCACGGAGTCACAGCATAAAACACAGTCTGTAATGGTATCTCCACCCCTGGGAATCATGTTTGTTCAAACAGGTCTCCTGTAGCACTTAGCAGTGCTTACAAAGCGAGTAAGAAAATGAAACACTGTTAGCAGGAGGAACCCTGTCCCTCAGATTTCCCTGAACCTCGGGCTATGGGACAGCCATGCTGGCGCCTCAGTTCTTCCAGCCACGCACACCACCCAGATCCAGGGCCAGCTGGAGGAGTGGGGCCTAGACCTTCACAAGGAGCCTGGCCTGCAGAGACCCCACGTCCACCGGATGGAGCCTCTGTCCTTAAACACTTGCCACTTGTGTGCTGGGAACCAAACCCGGGCCAAGGGAGCTCCCTCTTCAGAACCCCAGCTCCGTCTATAGGACCCTGGCTGGAGTATGGAGACTTGGGGGGCAGAGATGTCACATAACCCCTTGTGGATAATAGAATCATCATTCCATAATGCGGGGGCAGGGGTGGGGGAGTGAGGCAGAGTCTCTGTGTAGCCCAGGTTGGCCTTCAACTCCCGGTGATCCTCCTGCCTCAGCCTCCCAAGTGCTGGTATTACAGGTGTGACCACGCCCGGCCTTCACTCCTTTTTTTTTTTTTTTTTTTTTTTTTTT